AGGAATCTCCAACTGTGTGGCCGAATTACTCCAACATGAGAACCTGTCATTCTGTTGCATGACATAGTTCTACAGTGTGTGAGCTGGTTGGGTGGATGCATGAATCACACACAGGCTCTCTGGAATCTCTGCTGTTTGGTCATGTCAAGCTAAGGTTTGCTAGCATTGGCTGAAACTGGCCACCGTCAAACCAATTAAGGCAGCAACGTAGCAGCAAAACAACCAAAGATGACCTGAAGGAGAGACTCAACACCGAAAGAATCCTTAAAAGTAATGTTTGGGAGATTTTCATCTGTATGACTCCACCCAAAAAGTCGCTCATCAGCTGGGAACCATTCAGCCAGGTGTGTTGTTGTGATGCACGCACGGTGTTGTGAAGCTGGTGGAAGAAGAGGACCATTTAAAAGTTTGATTTTCGACCAAAGTCACCAAACTTTTCAATCCTCGTTTACCAGATTGGACCAGTGACTCTATACGAACAGTTTTTGTGCCTCCAGGACCGTTGAAGTTGCAGCTCTATCCATAGAGGCTTCAAACAGACACAACAGGGACTTTGGAACTTTGCATATATGCAAATTAGTAATGACAGCTGCTAATTTGTGAAACAATGTGCATTGGATGTCGTCTTTACAAACGTGACGGTGTTGGTTTAAAGTGTTCCTGCGTCTTGTTTGCTGCCTACAGACTTTATGTATTTATATGAAACACATCCTGACACCAGGTCAGCGACTGCAGCCTCTAACTCACTGCTTCAGCTTCTTTTTTCCATCAGCGTTGCTTAACTTGAGCCGAACTACCAAGATGTCGGTGGATTAGAATAATATTGTAGCTTGTCTTNAAATGCTGAACAGGCGTTTTTCTTTACGGCACCTTGTCGATGAAAAGCTTTTGTTTCACGTGTTGATATTTTTAATGGCAAACTCAAGATCTAGATTTTTTAGAAAGACTTTTGATTGATTTGGTAGATTTTTATTTATTTACTACTTCTTTTTTTTTGTAAAACCAATTTTATTCATTGTGCTCACCTACTTAAACATTTTAGTCTTTTTACCGCAGAGTGTTTCTTCATTTTTATCATTTCTAATTCAGTTTTTTTTTTTTTAACTTTATTTTTGTCTCTTTTAATCCTGTGAAGCCTTAAAACCATGACGTAATTGCCAGAAAATTCTTTATTTTTAAAAAACTGGAGTATTTATTGAACCTTCTGACAAATAATAATGAAAACTAAACATCAATTTGCATATAAAGCTTTTTGTTCTCACTATCTGACATTAAATCAGACCAAACGTTTCCTGTTTCAGCTCAGTCAGGATCACCAACATTATCTCTATTTGCTAAACACCAGAACAATGAGAGAGAGAATTTTTTATGACTTTCTTCAGAGTCAGAAGTTCACATCCACTAAGATGCCTTCAGACTGTTTGGGAAAGCCCAGGTGATGATGTCATGGCTTTGGAAGCTTCTGATTGGTTAATTGTCAACATATGAGTTAACTGGAGGCACTCCTGTCTGAATGTACACATCTGGGTTCTTCATCAGAAACTCGTGCATCAAATATGAAACACTTGCAGGATTAACGATGTCGTTTTTATTTCTTCATCTAACTTATTTTATTTCATTTTTATCTCATCTGCTGTCAGACGGCAGTTCTTGACTGTGGCGGCTGTTTGTATTTTTAATTGATATCTGTGAAGCGCTTTGTGTTGCGTTACTGTTTGAATGACAATTGCGACCGAAATAAAGTCTGATTGATTGATTGATTGATTGATTGATTGATTGATTGATTGATTGATTGATTGATTGATGTATGTTCTTCCCTCCTTTGCAGGCATTTGGATCAAACCGTCCCGAACGTCCAGGATGAGGGAGAAGAGGGCCGACTTCGTGGNTTGATGTCTGCATTTGTTTACTTGAATACGATACGAGGTTCTTCTGTCCGGCTCGTCAGCTGACTAATAATAACTAATTATCACACAGATGTAAACACCAGAGGAGATGCTGCACACATCCCTAAATGAAATGAAACACGTTTATCAGCCAATCAGAGGAGAACGCTGCTGTGAGTCTTTATCTCCACTCTGGAGGAAGGAAGTCAGCAGCTCGTTGGAAACTCGCCTTCATCCGTCTGGACTCTGTGCGTCTTATCTGGACTTCCCGTTTCCTCCACAGCTGATCGGCTGCAGCAGCGTATCTGTCAGCGCATTAGCATTTAGCTGCAGCTCTGCAGCAGAACGTTCGTCTCCTCACAGTTTACAGAACTTCTCATCATCTGGTTCCTCCTTTAGAATCATCTGTGGACTCCATCGTTTCCTCAGAGGTTTTTTTTTGGTTTGTTTTAGTTCTCTGGGTCAGTGATGCATATCAGATGTAAGCAGCAGTGTCTGGTTTCCCGGTGGTGGATGTTTGGCTTCTCTCTGGTGGCCGTTCGGTGGCCCATCAGACCGTTCTGTTGTCATTCACCCAACCATCTAGTCCCTTCATCCAGTCTTTCTCCTGAACCCTCCAGGCCGCCGTTCGTCCGGCCGATGTGAACCTCTCGGCAGCGACTCGCCTCTACAGGAGTTATCGACGCCTTCGCCCCGGAGGAGCTCGGCTTTATCTGCTCCTATTGAGTTGGATAAACTCCCCTTTAGTCCCGGGGTCTCGTTTGGCCGCCTCGGGCCTCAGATCTGTGTGTCCGATACCTGAGTGGGCCGGAGAGGGAAGGCTTGTTATGTCAGTATCTCATTAATATTTCATGATGGTTTCTTCTCTTTCTGTCTTTTGGGTTTCTCTGGGTTGCATTTTGAATCAGTTCTGTTTTGACTGGAGGTTCTTGTCTCTGTTGTCTCTGTTGTGGACGACAACGAACTCGTAGCTTCACCTCAAAGTGATGCAGCATCTGATGCATCGGACTGCTTGGTGATATCTGAACATATTTATTCTCATAAATAACGTTCTGAGACGACTTAACAGTAAAATACAAGTAAATCCTGCTGTTTCATGTTGCTCTATACGTCTACTAAGCTTTGCTTGCAGGACACATGAGAAGTTAGTCAAATGTGATGCTTTAGTTTGATTGAATGATCCAATTAGAGCCGAAGGTAACTGATTTAGCTGATTGGACCAGAAATTAGGGAACTGAGAAAGGACGATAAAATGCAGTAATTTTTTTAACGTGTTATTTTTCTGTGATTAATTAATTTAAATGTACACGTTAAAGTCCAAACACTAAATAAATCAAATATAGATGAAGGCAATGGACTGGATGAAGTGAGGACCAGTGCAACATCAGCTGTATGTGCAATAAATGGCAAACAGTAACGAGGTCGTCCAACATTATGGGCTCCTGTTGGTGGTCATCTTTTTGGAATTAGCATTGTGCTAGTTAGCATTTAGCTCAATCGACAGCGAAGCTAGCATCAACCCCGCAGAGCTGCAAGCACGACTGCAGCTGCTTGTTGCTTTCTTTGTCCAACAAATTCTCATTTTGAGGAAAATGCAAATGTGTCCAGCGAGACGACCACCAGTGAAGAACCACGTCAGAACCACCAGCTGAGACTGGACCGCTGCAGAACATCTGCTCACATCTGCTCACATCTGAGGCTGACAAACAGTCCACAGGATGCTCACATCCATCC